TGGTCTCAATCCTCAATAAGAATACTAACCTTGCTTCTCCCAAGCAAGGCCACATAGCTAGTGAATCTAGCACTGTGCTCTCCAGTGGCTCTACCAGCTTGCATGTCAAACTCGGATAGGCAATTTCGATCGGAGCTGCGACCGATATTCAACTCCCTCAACCGTGTAGCACGCCTACCCTTTTTCCTGGTAGACGGTCGACTCGATCACCACCTTGTGTAGGAGGGGGGACTGTGTAGGAGGAGGGGTACCGGATGAATCTGCCATATCTCGTGTTCAAAGAAAAAATAATAGTTATTAGTTCTTTGAACATGTCCAAACGAGCATTAACACCATCTTTTGTCTAAACTACTTACAATACATCTCTAAATTAGCTAAAGGCACCCGTGATGTTTCCCTCTCTTGACAGACATTATTACTTACTAGATTCAATATCGTAAACCTACATTGGCTACAGAGGTAGCTAAAAGCACGAAATCTTACCTCTTGAAGACCTACAGAGGTGGCAGGTGGCGTGACGTGCGGAGGCTGGGTGGGGAGAAACGTATCCCGGGCGACGGCACACGATAGCAGCAGGGCGGCACGAAGTGTTGGCAGGTGGCGTGACGAGCAAATGTGGGTGCGGAGAAACGTATACAAGCGAACGGGGGAGCTCTGGTATGGGTGAACTGATGAAAGGAAATGGAGCGTAGGGAGAAACGTACAGGGGAGCTCTGCTATGGGGGGGAAGTGATGAAATGAAACGGAGCGCGGGAGGAGCAGAAGATACTATGTCGGTTGCCCTAACACCCGTCATTAAAGATACTTTCTACGTCGGTTAAAATTTACCCGACATAGAAAGTTCACTTTCTACGTCGGTTAAAATTTACCCGACATAGAAAGTTCACTTTCTACGTCGGGTAAAATTTAACCGTCATAGAAAGTTAACTTTCTACGTCGGTTAAATGTTACCCGACATAGAAAGTTAACTTTCTATGTCGGGTAAATTTTAACCGACGTAGAAAGTTAACTTTCTATGTCGGTTAAATTTTACCCGACATAGAAAGTGACCTTTCCACTTACTATGTCGGTTAAAACTTACCCGACATAGAAAGTTTATGATTTTATTACAAAATTGCCACCGCGCCACATACTATGACGGGTGGATTACGACCGTGATAAAAACCCGTCATAGAAAGCTATTTTTCCACTAGTGTTGATACCATTTGTTAGGTCTTTTGAGCGATAATCCACAGGGAGAAACACACTAATGAGACATGAGTCCAACCCACATAAGAATTAACACTATTCTTAATTCAAAACCCTAAGACATTGGGTTATAGGTCATACTTCCTTATATGGTACTCAACTTTTTTATTTTTACATAATGTGAAACATAGAATCACACTTAATTTCTAATTATTCTCATTTCCTTATCTGATACTATTCTTATTTAGTTGAATTTAATTTTAAAAGATTACTCAACTGTTATTATTGATTTAAATAAAAACAAAATTGTTGAATAGATCATTATTATGCAATCCTGATTGCAACTACACTTTTTAATATTAGATTTAGTCTTTGGTTTAAGGACTAACATTTTTTTAAACATGTGAAACTACTTTTCATTTTATTTATACACTTATTCTCTTCAGTGTTGATCTTTTGTATATACATTTGTTTTTTATTTTTTTAAAATTGATCAATTTAGATGTTTTTAAAATTAGAAATAATAAAAAAGTTACTTTGTAATAAATCATTTAATTATAATTTATATGCTTAAATTTTATTTCAGTAGTTTTTATTTATAATATAATTTATATTTAGAGAGTGAGATTTTAAATATAATCTCTTTTCTTATTTTTTTAGTTGGTAAGCCTTGATTTTAAATTTAACTATTAACAGAAAATATTAATCTATTACTATTATAATTCTTGATAAAAACTATAATGTTATATAAAATTATAATATATAATACTAAATGTTTTTTTTTTCGAAATATTATTATAATCATAAGCATAAAAAAATTAAAAAATTAATCAATTTTACAAATTATTTATTATAAATTTCACATACGATAAAATATAAATTATTATACGTAAAAAATCTCACATAATAAAAAAATTTAACATATATGTAAATTAATTATTTTTGTTAATATATATATATATATATATATATTTATATGATAAAAAGAAATAAAGGGTCATTTAACATTAAAAAGCAAACAAAATGGAATGTGAAATGTGAATATGAAAAACACGTAAGAACCATGTCATGTATAGAAGACGATGAGATTTGGAAAGTAATTAGGAAAGAAGTTTATGTTAATTAGGAAATTTTGTTACAACTTGGGAATGCGCGTGATGCCTATCTCTCTCACTCTCTCACATCACTGTGTCAGTGTGTGCCACCCACACACCTTTATTTGATAACCAAACTCTATCATACAACATATTCAATCATTTTTAACACTAAATTAAATCGAATAATTACTTCCATTCTCACAAACTATTTCTTTAGATAGGTTATATCTTAGGAACTATTCTTAAGATTGTAAAGAGAGATTTTAGGCTTCATCATCTTTTCTTCCAGTACTATAACTTATTTTCTTTGAAGTCTTTTATTTTTGCAAAATTTTTGCATCATACACTACAAAAAAGAGCCTATTATCTACAAAATATTACATACGGATAAAAATCCGTAGGTAATTATTCATTACCTACGAATATTACCCACGGATAAAAATTCGTAGGTAATTATACGGATAATATCCGTAGGTAATATCATCCGTGGGTAATGAATAATTATATTAAACTAAAAGAATTGTCACTACAAGAATCGAACCCATTACCTTAAAGTTGAAAATCGATACTCCAACCACTAAGCTATTAGGATATTCTAATAATAAATATATAAATATATAAATATATAAATATATAAATATATAAATATATAAATATATAAATATATAAATATATAAATATATAAATATATAAATATATAAATATATAAATATATAAATATATAAATATATAAATATATAAATATATAAATATATAAATATATAAATATATAAATATATAAATATATAAATATATAAATATATCAAAGTATAAATATATCAAAATATAAATATATAATAAAAATATATTTATATTTATATATATTTTATATTTATATATTTACACAGATAAATATAAATATAATTTATTTGTAAATTATTATCAAAATATCCTAATAGTCTTAGTGGTTGGAGTATCGCCTTCCAACTCGAAGTACTGAATTTGAATCCTGCTAATGACAATTTTCTTAATCTAATAATAATTCAAAGTTCCAAAAATATAATATAAAAGGGCGGAGAGTAAATAAAAATATTTTGTTTAAGTGAGTGCGCAGGCTCGCTAAAAATATAATAAAAATACACCAGAACACCTCACAAATCCCTCAAAAACCCTATGCTAATTGGGTAAACAAGCAGATCAATTAATTTTTTAGGAATGTAAATGGAACTAAATGCATGTAGTACTATTGCATGCTACTTCAATATATTTATAATAAACCACCATTGGTGGTGTTTTTGTTGGCTTCTGGTTTATCATCAATCTCATTCTGCCTTGTCCAAATAATAACGTAATGAAGATGAAATCTAGATTCTTTACGAAGCATTGAATGTTCTGTTTTATATCAAGCCTGAAATTATGGAGAAGATGATAACATGAATAGGTGGTCCCAATATCAAAGATGAAGTTCAATGCCACATGTTTGATATCAGACCTGGCTTCTAATTCTATTTTAACTTTAACTGATTCTGACATAAACTAGTAGGTTATGTACAAACTAAAATATTCAATATAAGACATCTTGATGAGAAATCTAATAGAAAACACAGATGGGTTCAATAATTAAACAAAAAGTTATGAAACCAATTAATTAATTAATTTGGAAACTAATAACCAGTGTCCGAACCATGAAAAAATATTATCTTGTCCTGAATCATCACGTTAGTTATGGTTCAAATAATATTTGTTTGACATATGAACAATTTATGATAATTTTCTTTTATGATTTTTGATATATTTCTAATAATTAAAACTTTAAATTGTAAAAAATAAATTTAAAATCTTTTGAAGCACTAATCAATCATATAAGAAATTAAGATATAATTTTTAAGAAAAAAACCCCAAAATTATATAGGTTTCAAAATATGAATTTCTCTCTTATATTCATCAACTTTTAAATTTTTACATATTGTTATACTTACGCTTAAAAGTTCAATCTTAACAAACAGAAAAGGTGACAAATTTGTTATTTCATGCATTAATCTAACTAGTTATTAATTATAACAATTTAAACATAACATATGCTTTACTAATTATTGTTCCAAGAATTTTCATTTTTGTTTGTGTTCTATCAGTCAACTGCCAACTTTTTTTTTTCTCACCTTAACAGCGAGTTAAGAAGTATCCTACTCTGACCTTCAATATTTTCCATGGACCATCATGGCCACTTCTCAGGTAACAGGTTGACAGCTAATTCTGATATTGTAAATTCAGAGAAAAGTCAAAGTTCAGTAAATGATTTTATTGCTTTTGTTTTTGCCAGCAATAGCAGCAGGAAAATTTCTTTGGCATTGAGACAAATTCACGTGATTGATGTATTCTTGAATGTAATAAATATGCATGCAGAACGTAAGGTTATACATTGTAATCGTTAATAAAGAAGGAAAATACTTTAGATTTAGTTATAGAGCACTTCATTGTAATTTGTAACTAATAAAGAGAAAACTACAATGTAGAGATATAGATATTTTCATTATTTTGTTAATGAAATTCTAGGGAAAGGTAGAGGCTCCGGCACACACTGCTAGATATTGGTTTAGAAGTTACATAAAAGTCATGCATTCTGCATTTGTAGAATGCCATTCAGAGCTAACAACTCTCAGCAAGGATTTTCTTGTTCTGAAATTTTGTGCTTGAATTCTTCTGACATTATTTCCTTGGACCCATGATCTTAGTCATCTACTTTGAGCTTGAACTTCTCTCTCTTTGTGATGATAGAATGGCATCGATGACTTCCTTTACTTGAGAAATATCAGGAGGTTTTCCACCCTGAACAGGCCAAAATTCATCAGTTGCCAACACCTGCAGCATTATAACAATAAGAGAAAAACGATCTGACCGTGTTATGTTTCAATTCAGAGCATTATATTAATTGTTTAGCGCAAAACGAAATAATTCTTCACATTAATATATCAAAAGAAGAAAACTAGTGTTTAAGTAATCACCTTCACTTGAAGTTGAAGAAACTTTACATAGCTAATTGCTTTCTCCAGCATAGTAACCATATCAACCTGCAAATTTCATTATAAAGATCATTCTAATAAGTTAAAAGCCTTGCCTTATTGATACAAATGAAGTTAAACGGAAAGAAAAGAAAATCACCTTGGAGCCATTAGGCACTAGTTCTTGTAGTATCTTCAATCGCTCGCTTATCCTCTCTCTTCGATTCTGTGAGACAAACATTCTATCAACATTGAATTCTCTTATTTAAATTTTGCTTAGTTTGCAATCAAAACTTTGTACATATATCTATAACATAATAAACTGACTTAGGATAGAAGCAAACCTTGGCAGCCACACTTTGAGGATCCTTGGAGGGGCTTGACTTATGTTTTGGCGTTTTGCTCTCAGTTGAACATTGCTTCTTCGCAGCTTTCATGTTCTGTCCCTGCAAAGGCAAAGTCAAACTTCACTTCAGTTGCCATTCTACCTTCAGAAAGCTTTCTAAGGACTGGTTAGTTAACATTTTCCTTTTTATGTAATGACAATAAAGTTTGAACCTAATAACTCGTTCATGTTACCAAAAGCCTCCATTACTACACTGATCCCAATAGGTTTGAGTTGGTTTTGGTATGATATAACAAAGGAATACCATTGAAGGGCGCTTTTGCAAAACTGTCTCTGGTGCTCCTAACTTGTGGAGGCTCCTATCATTCGGGATAGATGGTGCTGAGTAGAGCCACCCTGATGAACTTTGAACATGTTGCTTCTCGTTTGCATTATTGAATATGGAGCTATAGCCACTAGCAGTATGAAAGCAATTGAAATCCTGCACCAGACGCATGTTTTTAGTGCTTCTTGGACTAGTCTCATTCCAGTGGTTATGGCCTTGATGCAAATTATTCTCCCAAACACAGTACTCTTTCTGACTAGTATCCCTGTTGTGCTGAAAGCTAAGCAATGATTCATCAGTTTGCATGAGATTGCTGTACCCTTTGAAATTAATCAGAGATTCTTCTTCTTCAAGCTGATAGTTCGTGCCCTTATAAGCATATCCTTTGCCACTGCCACATAGAGGAGGAGAATGTGTTACAGCTGAATCATTGCCGAGACCATCTTCCTCTGCTAACACTGATTTGTGGTACTCATTGACTCTATGAACAGTCATGGAGGTAGTCTCCACGCTAGCCTCACTAAAAAAACAGTTTTGAACCTTGCTGCTCATGCTTGAATCATGTGGAATTTTTTGGTCTTTGGCCAGTGCCATTAGAGAGGTAAAGGAAAAAAATTGCGAAAGCAATAAAGGTTTGTTTGTTGAGGTTGGTCAATAATGACAACTCGCAAGGGAGGCCTATTTGTAGATGTCAAATATTCAATTCAAAATATATTATATGTATTAATGGAGATGGGAATAGTGTGTGACAGAAATATTAACTATGGGGAAACAAGAAATCATAATCGAATACTATAAGGCAGGTTTATGAGTTTCCATGATGTCAGATTATTTCATCTTCATTTTGGGATTGTTAGCTGGCAGAAGTTAATGCATTGAAATGAGGGAAGATAAAAGCATTACAAAGTAGCATAAGGGTCGCCGGTTCTTTCGCAAAGACCCACGTCTCTTGTTGAAGAAGAAGCTGGGGCTACTTGAGGTTGCTTCTTACATGTTTCCTTTCACTCACCATGAGCACGTGGAGTTGTGTTTTATTTTATACTTTATGTTAACATTCTGTGCTGTTGTCTATAAATATTTATTGAATAGGCTAACAACACTGATTGGCATGAAGATTTTGCATTTGTTCCATTTACGTACTTTTGATTCTGATTTCTTTTTGGTTCTAGTAAATTGCAAATGAAGGAGGGGATGGTGCATGCAAAATTTGTAATCTTTGGGCTCTTGTACACAAGTTTGAGCAACTAATTCAGTTTATTGGCGATGATTTACTTGTTTCATTTATGGTATAAAATTATATTTCGTAATTTCCTACTATAGAGAGAGATAAACCTAAAGTATTATTCTACAAACAAAATCAATTGCTCCCAGAATGATGGTTGGTATCTTATTACGGTGCTCAAATTCTAAATAGGAAAAAAAAAAAAAAGTCAACACTGTCATGTACAAAGTACATCCAAGGAAGAAATAAAGAAAGAAATTGAAATTCAGGTGAGAAGGTTTGAAGAAAGCACACATGTGACAACTAAGTAAATTGGGAGGCAGAATAAATAATCCGAATATTGGCTAAACAGAGAACTAGTTAAAGATCACTATTCAACGTAACAAAAATACATATGAAATGAGATACTAGTATTCTACCGTTATTTTACATATATTAAAAATAATAAGTATAAAATTAATCATTCTAATTAATTAATATTCAATCAACATAATATAAGAATGTAAAATAAAGATTAAATATATTATTTATTTTTAATTTCATGTTATTATTATTTTTAATGTTAATTTGATTTTATTTTTATTAAAATAAATTATATTTTTAATATATGAATGTGATATTAACATTCTTTATGATACATGATACTCATGATATATTTATATTTATTAGACTATTAAATTATGTTGATAAAAACATCTTAAATTTATTTTAAAATAAATAACTAAATTGACATTAAAATAAATAGTAAAAGGTTATTTAAAAAAAATATTTAAGCAAAAAGAAATTATTTGCCTTGCCCAATGCAAGATTTTTCCGTCTATTCATAAATGAGAGTTAGAAAAAGGGTTCTGGACTCCACAAATTAGCTAAGAATTGGCCTTCCAATAAAAATTGCTTTAAACTTCTTTTTTTACTCAAATATCCTATATAAATATCTTCCATAAAAAATGTTCTAACATTTACGATCTTAAACTTTAAAAATAATAAATAAATAATTCAAAACTTAAAAACAAAAACCAGAATATCAAATATTAAACAAACTAAAAATTTGATTAGTATTAAAAACAATATATTTCTTTTTAATATACACCGAACCGAAACTCATTCCTAAGATCCCATCCTCACGTATATAATCTTAGACTTGTAAAACAATAAACAAAAAAAATTTAACGCTTAAGGAATAAAAAAATCAGAATGTTATAAAAAAATAAAATAAAAAATAATTATTATATTTTCCATAAACAAAACCCAGAAAAAAAAGAAAAAAGAGCTAAGAAGAAAGAACAATGCAATTTTCCCCTAATTTGTGGAAACTGTGTTCCTTCGTTCTTCTTGTTAGGGTTTCGCCATGGAAGAAAGCCCTCGAGCTCGCAGAAAGCGAAGCCTCCCTTTTTCTTCTTCTCCTCCTTCTTCTCCACTTCCCAAGCGCCCCAATTTTCCTTCCTTCCAAGACATCCCCAACCTCCCTTCCAACATTAAATCCCTCTGCCACCTCATCGCTACCACCTCCGCCGCCGCCGTGGAGCAGGCCCTCCAATGCGCAGCCGTCGACGTCACCCCTCAGGATGTTGAGGAAGTCCTCAGACTCTCCTATGGCTTCCCCGGCCAGGCCGTCAAATTCTTCCGGTGGAGCGGCCGGCACCTCCGCGACAACCACACGCCCTATTCTTGGAACCTCGTGGTCGACCTCTTGGGCAAGAATCGGTTCTTTGACGCAATGTGGGACGCTATTAAATCAATGCAGAAAGAAGGGTTACTCTCACTGGCCACTTTCGCCGCTGTCTTTGGGAGCTACGTCGTCGCCAACAGAACCCGGGAAGCGATTGTGGCGTTTGAGGTTATGGAGAATTACGGTTGTGTGAGGGACGTTGTTGCTCTGAATTCACTGTTGAGTGCGATTTGTAGAGATGGTAGGACTGTTGATGCTTGTGATTACTTGCAGGTTGCTAAGAAATTTGTCCGGCCGGATGCCGATTCTTACGCCATTTTGATGGAAGGATGGGAGGGAGAAGGAGACAAGGGTGTGGTTGGTGCTAAGGAGACTTTTGCTGAGATGGTGATTGAGATTGGATGGGATCCAGCCAATATACCTGCTTATGATTCATTCCTGTGTACTCTTGTTAGAGGGCCTGATGGATTGCTTGAGGCTATTAAGTTTGTTGATTCAATGAGGGATAGAAGGTGTTACCCTGGTCTGAGGTTCTTGAAGGTTGCATTGGATGAGTGTGTCAAGTGTAATGATGCTAGGACTGCTAAGTTTTTCTGGGAGGTGTTGGTGGAGGTGGGGAGGGTCTTGCAGCCCTCCACAGAGATGTACAATGTGATGATTGCTTTGTATTGTTACTGTGGTGATACTGATGCTGCGAGGACCATGCTTGATGAGATGGTTTACCGAGGGGCGTTTCCGGATGTTGTGACTTATAACTTGCTGTTTAAGTTCATGATCAAAGGGAGGAAGTTGAGGGAGGCGTCGGCAGTGTTTGCTGAGATGGTGAAGAACGAGTTTGTCCCGGATCAGGATAATTGTGATGCGGCGGTTAAGGCGTATGTGGATTGTGGGGAGTCTCTTATGGCCATTAAGGTTTGGAAGTGTTTGGTTGAGAATTACCGGAATGATTTGGAGCGGACAGCAAATTTTCTGGTTGTGGGGCTTCGTGATTTGAATAGGGTTCCAGAGGCGGTTAAGTATGCTGAGGATATGATTGGCAGAGGAATCAGGTTGTCCTCTTCCACGTTGTCAAAACTGAGACAAACCCTTGTCAAGGAAAGAAAAGAATTTGTGTATGAAGAACTTTTGAGGAAGTGCAAATCTCATTAAGTGGTTTGGAATTTGCTAAAATTGTTCAACTTTGTTTTAGTACCAAAGTTCAATGTTTCGCTTTATCTGCTAGAGAGGGGGGAAATTTTGAAGTGATGCTTTGGTTAGGCTGAGCAATTTTCGGCTAAGTGGCATGTGTTATCTTTGTATATAGTTACTGCAAAAGATCCTTGTAGAATTGCTTTGTAAGGTTAATGGATGAAGTTCATATAGGTTTTTGCTTCTGGTAAAATATTATAAAAGAAAAAAGCTTTAGCATTTTTGGCTGTTTCTGCATTTTTGCTTGTATTTGTAGTACTTATTGGTCTGGAGTTTTCTGCACAGTTGCTAGAAAAAAAAGAGAAAAAAATGTAGTCGAAGAGATGGTTTATTTGGATTTTTTTTTTTTTTTTTCCAAAATTTTATAGACCTTTAGTTTTTATACATGATTCAATGATCTATGAAGAGGTTTCAATGACCACCCTTTAAGTTTGACGTTATATGTTCTGCTCTATAAAATTTATCTGGAGTCTGCATCTATTTTTAAAGGGTCATCAGTTATCTATTCTCCTCATTGCATTCGGTGCATGTCTTTTGCTAATGAGATTGAAATATCTTTTAGTTTTTATGAGACGCTTTATTTTTAAATTTAACACAGGTTCTTCTTAGCAATCCTGCTTGAAAACTTGAGTTCTACTTGTGCTTCTAGTATTAGGTAATTGGTGTATATTTTACTATTTGAGATCATAATCACGACAGCTATATGTTTAAAGATGATATCAAGCCAACTGTGAAGGCTCATTTTGCATCAATTTATGGTCCAAAATTTTTGTTACAATAATTTTTTATTAAATTAAATGATAAATTTGATGAAACCTTACCCAATCCAACTTATTTCTATCTAATCCATCCGACCCTAATAATGTTAATGGAAGCTCCAGCTAATTTGGGTTCATAAACAGTGTATAGGAGTGGGAAATTTTTTATACAGTAGCACGTTTTCGTTTTTTAATTACTCATATAGCATATTGTAGGTTTTATTTACCTAGATAGCACAGTTTTTTGTTAAGTTGAGAATTCGATTTTCGGGAATACGAAACCTAAACGTAATTGTATTTTATAATTTCTTTCAAACAATTTAGAATTCGATTTTTCGACAAGTTGAATTCTGAATAATTTTCTTTTTATTTTGTTAAGAAAAAAACCTAACTAACATATATATATATATATATATATATATATATATATATATATATGTTATAATATTTTATTTAACATTTATAGTTTTAAATTAGGTATTTAAAAAGATTTGTATATTTTTAAAATTAATAATATATTTAGATTTATTGTTGAAAGTAGTAAAATAATATTTTAAAAATATATTATTAAATATTATATTTAAATTTATTTGTATGATTAAACTTTTTTTAATTTTTTGATTTATTTGATATTATAATTTTTTAGAAATTAATAATAAATTAGGAGGATAATAAAAATCTTAAAAATTATATGTATATAAGAAGAAATAATATTTTGATGTAAAATTATATATATATATATATATATATATATATATATATATATATATATTCTAAATATAATTTATATTAATTACTATAATATAAAATATATATTTCAAAATATAACTTTTTGTCACCTATGAGGTTGTTTGGTATCCCTGGTTGAATTGAAGTACCCTTATTTTGATTAGATCCCAGTACATGCTTGGGCCTTGTTTGATTAGATATCTCAGTACATGCCTCTGGGCCTTGTTTTGATTAGATATCTCATTACATATCTCTGGGCCTTGTTTTGATTAGACATCTCTGTACATGTCTCTGGGCCTTATTCTGATTATATCTCATTACACGCTTGTGCTTTAATGTTAATTTCTGTATGTAGTCTTAATACTAGATGATTCAAAATTTTTAGTTTAATAAAGTTCAATTTATTAGGATATCAACTGTTTATTTTTGTTATTAACTTTTACATTATTTATTTAATAAAAAATTACTCTAGAGAAATTAAATCCAAATAAAAAAATTGCTTTATGATTAATGCAAGTCTTGTCAAAATCCTAACCTTCCAATATCATAACTGCCACATTTAATGCAACTCTATACTCCTACATAATTAGATGTGTTTAGGGATGGCAAAATGGGCCAGCCCGCCCGTTTTGGCCCGCCCCGCCTTTGGCCCGACAAAAGTGGGGCTGGGCAGGCTGACCCGATATAGTCATGACGGCTGTAGACCTTGACCCGCCCCGCCAAGGGGCGGGTTGGTGAGCTAGTGGGCGGGCTGGCCCGCCATAATTTAGAAAAAAATAATTATTTTTAAATAAATTTTTTAATAAATTTAATAATAAGATTATTTTTTGTTTGTCAATAATTCTATATATATATATATTATTTCAATTTAATAATATAAATCAATACATTATTTTAAGAAATTATAATTTAGAACAATAATAAAATTTACATAATAATAAATAATAACAAATATATATATATATATATATATATAAATAACGTTAAACTTATAAAATTTATATTTTTTTATATTGTAAAATTCAAATACCTATATCTTTTTTATTTGATAAAACTTCATATTATTCTTGGTTGAGTAATTCTTATATCTTTAATTCAAATAATAAGGATAAATATAATCAGTGCTTAGGATAAATAAGGAGAATAGGAGAGAAAGTTATATTTCAGGAAGGAGAATATTTTCTGTGAGAATGAAACTTTTTTAATTCTCTTTCTAAAATTTTTAACTTTATATATTATCTTTATAATTAATTTTATTACAATAAAAAATTATTTTTTTATTAATTAGGCGGGCCGTGGGCTGGCCCGCCCCGTCCCGCGGGTTGGCCCGACGGGTTGGCGGGCTTGGCGGGGTGGGCCGCCAGCCCGCCGGGCCTAGCCCGTTTTGCCATCCCTAGATGTGTTCAATCAAAGTGGTATGAAGAAAGTTGATGGACATTCAAACTAAGTGAATTACATTCTTGAAATTTAATGGAGTTAATGTAGCAGACGAGGTAGTGACACCTATAATAACTTACGCACTTATGTCATATCTCTTCTATGTAGTTGGTTTTAATCAATAACTTACATCATATGTAATATGGTAAGATAGCGTTGTGTTATATTTAGTATTATGATTAGTCTTATTGTCGTTTCAAAGTACTATGTGGCAAAACACATAGTAATATAGTAAATAAAAGGCTTAGAATCTTTTAGGAGATATTACATTTTAATGTGTGACTAAACAGTTTCAATATAAATAAAGAATTTATCCCAATTTAATAAATTAGTTTTTACTTTCAATCATTAAGTATTAAAAGTAAAAAAATGCAACATAATCCAGCAATTGCACAAGTAAGCATCAAGTTACTGGATATTTTTACTACTAAGATATTTGCAGTTGTGGAGGGGTAGGAGAAAAGACGCTAAGAATCATTTTACATAAACAAGAGAAAACTTCTCAAAATGGTAAAGGGATCAAAATTGTAATTGATAATTTTATGGACGAAACATGTTAGTCAAGAATTGTAGAGCATGTTAGAGCCCCCACTAGACCATAGACCTTTAACACCACTTAACACAAGGCCTTTAACAGCAGTGTCCCTATGCTTGAGGTTGCAGTATCTAGATCTCATGGGATATTACAGTAAGAGGGTTTCAAATTAAATTGGTGGAATTTACTCTAAAAATATTATATATGTTCAGTTGGCTTAAGCTAAAGCCTAATACTGCCTATAATATACAGCTTGGAGTCTTTTAGGATTTTAATTACGGAAAAAAAATTTAAAAGGGGGATTAGGGATTGATTTGATCCTTCACCATATAAAAGAGAGACTTTTTATGAGAAATATTAAGTTTTAAGGTACACCACTAGTTTTGTTTTCACTTTAATTTCTAGACAGCATTTCAAATTCAATATGTATTTCAAAATCATACTATTGAATCATCCAAAGATTGTATTCAGGAAAGCTAAAGTAGAATACTTCTCATGGATGTAAAATTGGAGAAAAACAGAGACTCGGGTCCCATAAATTTCCTCAAGTTCACTTTGCATGAACTTTGAGGTTGAGAGTAATATTCTAACCTACATGCAAAGAAATGAACCATATCACGTGAAACCAACTCTGTTTTCTGTTAAAGGTATAAATTCCCAAGACAGATATTAAAAGACCCACCAGCCTAACTATGAATGTCTTAACATTTTGCATCAATTTATGGTCCAAAATTTTTGTTACAATAATTTTTTATTAAATTAAATGATAAATTTGATGAAACCTTACCCAATCCAACTTATTTCTATCTAATCCATCCGACCCTAATAATGTTAATGGAAGCTCCAGCTAATTTGGGTTCATAAACAGTGTATAGGAGTGGGAAATTTTTTATACAAGTAGCACGTTTTCGTTTTTTAATTACTCATATAGCATACTCGTAAGTTTTATTTACCTAGATAAGCACAATTTTTTGTTAAGTTGAGAATTCGATTTTCGGAATACGAAACCTAAACGTAATTGTATTTTATAATTTCTTTCAAACAATTTAGAATTCGATTTTTCGACAATATTAATTCTGAATAATTTTCTTTTTATTTTGTTAAGAAAAAAACCTAACTAACATATATATATATATATATATATATATATATATATATAATATGTTATAATATTTTATTTAACATTTATAGTTTTAAATTAGGTATTTAAAAAGATTTGTATATTTCTAAAATTAATAATATATTTAGATTTATTGTTGAAAGTAGTAAAATAATATTTTTAAAATATATTATTAAATATTATATTTAAATTTATTTGTATGATTAAAATTTTTTTAATTTTTTGATTTATTTGATATTATAATTTTTTTAGAAATTAATAATAAATTAGGAGGATAATAAAAATCTTAAAAATTATATGTATATAAGAAGAAATAATATTTTGATGTAAAATATATATATATATATATATATATATATATATTCTAAATATAATTTATATT